TTTGCATCCAGTGTTCATACAAGTGCTGTTTGATTTACACCTATCATGATTGCAGTTTTACAAGCAACATCTCAGAATCCATTGGCGACTAGTGATACACAGCAGTCCCATTTGTTATCATGGAAAAAGTCTGCCAGGAAGGTACATTAAGTATGTCACATCCTAGAACAACCAGTAAATGATTATATTAAATAGCCATTTGATAATTGGTGATAGAGCTGCCCTCATAGAGTGAGAATCCTTTTATTAAAGTGGGTTTTCAAGGATTGTTCCATGGTTTTCATTTTCCCAAAATCGTTTACTGAGATGTGCTCTCCCATAGAGCCCAATATATTACAAATTTTCTAAAGAATTGACCACTTTGGGCATTGAAAATCTAGGCTTGTAGAATTTACATGCTAGAACTTGGATTGAACGAATGGTAATTAAACACCAATTTTACTGTGGTCTTCTTGGACTCCTTCCAAACCTTGCAGTGTGTTTTTTTTTTTTTTCAGCTACTATTTGCCTGGAATTAATCTACTACTTCTTTAGCATTGAGTTTAATATACTTAAGTTTAGCCATGATCAGCCTGTTCAATAATTCATTTTCCAGAAAACTGAGAAGAGTTCAACCATGAAACCAATGCTTGTAGAGGTAAAAACACACAAATAATGTTTGTAAATATATTGTCATCTTAAGTATATAAATTCATAAAATTGACCAATGACTGTAAGTGTCCTCCTTTGTTTTTAACTCAACAGGTATGACACTGTGCTTCTATCACACTATTTATTGATCTTATAATTAGCATATATTAAATGCATCAATTTAAATCACTAAGTCCCTGCCTTTTGTGTGTAACTTTCATTTTAGAATCTAAAACACTTTGCTGTTTGTTGTCGATCTTGGATTAAAAGCATTTTGCAATACTCAAACTCCTACCACAGCCAACAAACTTACATCACAATCTGCCCACCAAGAAGAGGAGAAATTATGCCCCTGATAGAAAGTTGTGTTTGAACAATTTGGCAGTGAAAGAACAGTGACCCTGGCCTGTCTGAGGCCTTTAACAAGCCATCCAGACATCATGTTACTTTTTTTGTTGCCTTTCCTGCTGTCCCCTTCCACCACCATCCACTCTAACTCTAAATCAGACATGGCCAGCTGAGGAAACCATCTTGAGCTTTTTGATGTTAACTCACCCTAATGAGACACATCCATACACTCAAAGCTAGGCCTCAGTGATAGTAAAACCATGTGATTTAACAATTCAGTGTAGAAAAATTACCCCGAGTGATTTTTTACTTGTTTTTAGAATAAAGTATAAATAAAGTGGTTCTTTAAATTTAAAAATAATTAAGTTACTGTTAATTTAACTTCAGAACTCTCAAGATTACAAAATCGTCTCCTTAGAATTTGGTGTTAAATCAAGCACTGTCTAATAGTTGATGATTTTCATTCATCTGATCACCTTACTCATGGGCATTGTAGAGAGATCATTAGAAGAAATCTTTTATTTTTTCACTCCGGGAGTAAAAGCACCAAGGCTTAATTACTTTTAATCCTTTTTTTCAGCTGCATGTTTACCCAGGATATGAACCGCATGATGTCACCCCACTTCCACCACCATTCCTTGCCAAAGAAATTCTGTTAACTGTCATTGATGCTCAGAGGGATTTAAGAAAGAAAGTAAAAAAATTTTGCTGTTTTCTTCACTGAGAAACAATCCTCTCTTAGGCTGTAACCATATCACCAAAGCTTTTTTAGGGGAGAGGAATTTGGAGGTGTATTGAAAGTATATAACCCAATGACAGAAATGATCCTGAAAAATTACACGAGGAGCGTGCAATCTCCAATTAAAAAAAATTACAATTGGCTTGAAATGAGTTATAATCTTTTCCCTGATTGTTTCTTCAAGGTAAGTCAGTGTGGAGTACTTTAAGCTGTCTCCTTGTGTGGGATTGAAGCCTTCAGGAGACGTGTCACACTTTGAACAATTATAAGTTAGCATGCATTCATCCAAGCTTGCATTTGTATGTGCTTTATGGTAATTTATGTAATTCATTTAATGCTGTTTAACTTTTGACTGAGTGTAGATCTGTATGTTGACAATTCATGGTTTGTCTAGTTGTTCAGTTTTCCAACAATTACTTTCTTTCACCTCTACTTTTCTAGCCATCTTTTAAACGTGAATTTCAAGCTTTTGTGTTTTCCAAGACATCTGAGGACATTCTGCAGGTCAGTAAACTCCCTTCTCTGTTTGAGAACTTCCTGGCAAGATTGTGCAAGCCATTCCTAAATTAAATTGTATCAGAAACATATAAGCTATGTGGTTCTGATTGTCATCTGCACTTGTACAACTATGATGGAGTCTTTAAAACTAGACAATTGTTTCAGGGGCTGAATTCGAAACAACTCAATCTACAATTAAAGGTGGCCTTATATCATCAGATCATTTGCTTGAACTCACTTGGTATCTTTAACTATTTCTAATTCTTACTCAGGACTTGTTCTGGTGGTACTTTTTAGAAAAATATCAGGTGAGTTCTGCACTTTCACAGTGCCCTAGTTAGAGAGGAAGGCCACATATTTAATAATAATAGTTATAATAAATCAACAAGCCTTTGACAGAAAAAGTTCCAATAGATTGCGGGACTGTTAACATTATTGCCACCACAGTCCAGCTGTAATGTGCAGGGATCTCTTCTTTTTAACAGGCCAACAAGAACATCCAGGAAATGTTGTTTAATCGCATTGCTCACAACTATGTCAAGATGTTGTTTACAGCCCCGGTGACACAGTACAGGGATAAATTTCTTAAGGTACAAATGTTGTATTAATGCACCACATACTTGTGCAAGTGCTTTTTAAGAGCTATGTTGACAGCCTATGCTAGGTGAAAAAGTAGAGAGAAAATGGTGGAGTTCTAGGCATGACAAACCATAGACCCAGTCAGTGGAGAAGAGTGAAGAGTGAGGAGTGGAAAATGGTAATGTTCTAGGAAGACGTGTGTGCAGCAAGAGCCAGTCTCTCCCATTGCCCTCCTAAGCCCTGGTCCCCCACATCTTGATGTTTTCTGAGAACCAATACAGAACAGGCACTCAGCAACATGGAATCTATTTGGTTATCTTTTCTTTTTTTTTTTTTTCTTTTAATTCCAGAGGTATCCGGATATCATGGCTCAAGCTGTGTACTGCACATTTTGCACAGCATTCCCAACATCTTACAAGCAGTTTGGAGATGAATTCAAAGAAAGTCTGGTGCAGTTGATCCATGAGTGGATTGCTGGTTGGTTTAAATCTAATTTGCTTGATGAGCTGTGCATAAACATGTACTTGTGCTGCATGCATAATGTACTTTACTTCAAACACTTTCTTTTCAAATGGCCAATTTAAAGTAGAAAGCAAAATGTACCCCGTAGGACCAATAACAATGACAATGATTGTTAAGGTGATAACGATGATAATAACTATGCATGTGCTAATAGTTATTTATGATAATATAGCAGTTATTGTTTTATCACGTCTACTGCATGACCAATTGTCTCGGGTAGATGTGTAACATTACAAAATTGCTGCGGACAGATTTCATACCATTCTAAACCAAAGCCGTATTATCCCAAAGGTAATCGACTGTTTTTGTATTGTTTTCTTTATCCAAGAATTGTAATGTGCTCTGCAGAAATCTTTCCGAAAAAAAGTATCGTCATCCTTGAATTCTGAGTGTTACTTTCAGTTTGGTCCTGTCTCTCTGTGTCTTTTGTTAACTCTTTTGTTAACTTTTGTTAACATGCAGTGCTCAAACAACTAACTAATATACGTATTTTTTTGTCGCATTTAGGAACCAAACCTGTACCAAGGCTTTGGGCTAAGTGGAATTTTAGAGCATTAGAACCCAAAGCTATGAGAAAAGATGAGCAGATCAAGCAAGACGCTTCCAAAGGTACAGAGTAGGTAACTTCATTTGCGAAAGCATCTTATATCCTCAATTGTAAAGCGTTACTCTATCTTCACTTAACGGCCCTGCTAGTGAAGACAAAGGTCACGTGAGTAACTCAAAGAGCGATGGCCACAGAACTTTGAGGGGGGAATGTTTGGGGTTGGGTTGCAGAACGAAGTTCTGAAGGAAAACTTAACTTCAATTTTCCTTTTCAGGTTCTTTAGTTTCGCTCCCAGTTGACCTCAGCGAAGAGAATTTGACCAAACAGAGTAGCTTGTCTTCTGTCAAGAAGTCCTTACCTCACATTGTTGTGGATGAGAAACCGTCAATACAAAGTAGCTCCACATTACTGCCAGGCCGTGACATCAGGAGAAAGTCCGTTGCAGTGAGAAAATCGTCTCAAAACATTAATGTGACCAATAGCGAAGAGTTTCGTGACTCCATCGGTCATCTGGCTCCACCTGACGCAAGCGAGGATAGCGGATCTGCGACGCCACAAACTTTGAGTCGCCTGCAGGCAAAAGTGTCTTCTTACTCGGTGTTTGCTGGTGTGCATAAATTGAATCGCGCAGATAAACGAAGAGAGGTAAGTTTCCTTCGAGATCCATTTCGCTCTTCAGTTTGACTGTTTTTACAGTGGGCACGCTCTTTCTTAATTTGCGCGTCAGCGCGTTCGTTTATATTTCGATGATTATTCAGTTGGCGACTCTACAAAGGATCTCTTCATTTACCTGAGTTAAAACTGAGAATGATAACGAAACCACAGAACTATGAAATAAGTCTTGCACTGATCCCAAATTTATTTAATGTGTTAACACCAATAAATCCAATATGCTATGTATAACCTTCGGCGGGTAAAACGTTCCTTTTTTTAAGAAACCCGATTAAACGGTTTACGATGAACCATCTTATGCAATACTACCGTATCACGTCATATTTAGCTTTATAAAAAGATGCTGAAAAAGAGAGGCCAAAATTATTACATCAAACTTTCATGGTTGTTCTTTTATTCCGATGCACGAACGGTTGGCATACCGTATGGCGGGTGTCCTTTCCGTTGCTCTTTCGTTAGTGAAATCTCGTCGAATTTGTTGGTATGGTGTACTCTGGGAGGTGGCTGTGATTACAAAATGTTGACTAGTTTATGGTATGTTAAAGCCACACAATGCTCACGAAGGCACAATGGTACTAACATGAGGTATTTTCTACTAAAAAGAGATACTTCTGTCTTCTTCAGTTTTCTACTTGAGACCTCCAAGGCTTTTCGAATAGTAATGCAATACTAATGAGACCTAATAAGGCTAGAACAGCTGTATATGGCTGATGGCTTCATGGCCTACTTTTTTTCCCGTTATCATTTTGCTGAATTTACTGGTTAAATTGTCCATTGCACATTTTTTTCCAGTCATGTCCAGTCGGTAGAGGCCCAGAGTTCTCCCGTTGTGTGTTCGATGTTTATGGTCACAGCCCGCTTGTGGAACAGTTTCTTCGGATGCAGAAGTTGGCAAAAGATTCAGGAACGTCCGTATTGATTCAGAGAACTGAAATCAAGTCACTGCCACCATATCCTTCACAATATTGTCAGAATTGTTTTCTTTCTGCCCGCTTTAAGGACGGTGTCCTTAGTGGACGTAAACTCTCCTCCTCTTTATTTTCTCATTTAAGTCACTTGTGACTTTCATCTGAATTCCTTCTTTGGATTAATCTTTGCCATGCAATTGGTAGTGCGGGGTGATGTAATTAATGAGTTTTTACGGGTACAAGACAGGCTGCTAACCGGAGTTCTCCTGGACACGCCTATGTGCATTGTTGTACCCTCCCCTCCCCCCCCCCCGAATGATTGAATTATTTGGTTTTAATTTCCTTAGAAGTACCTAAAGAGACAATCATAATCATTTTCGTCTCCTTTTAGGTCATGCTTTTATTAAATTCTTCGCATAAATTAATTGTACAACATAACTTGAGCACATGAAGTTAGGCCCAGTACATGTGTAGAACTGAATGAAGATTTTGGGTGATTCGACAAACAGCTCAGAGGAAAAAAAAAAACCTGCTTCGATTCTGAGCTGAAATTAGCTCAAATAACATATTCTCCTCCCCTCTTCCCCGAATGATTGAATTATTTGGTTTTAATTTCCTTATGAGTACCTAAAGAGACAATCATAATCATTTTCGTCTCCTTTTAGGTCACGCTTTTATTAAATTCTTCGCATGAATTAATTGTACAACATAACTTGAGCACGTCAAGTTTGGCCCAGTACATGTGCAAAACTAAATGAAGATTTTGGGTGATTCGACACACGGCTCAGAGGAAAAAAAAAAACCTGCTTCGATTCTGAGCTGAAATTAGCTCAAATAACATATGTTTCGAGAGGAAAAAATGATAAAACTCCAGACTGCTGGCAAATGACGTTCAAAAAATCATTTATTTTACGTTTGGCGCGTAAAGAAAACAAGGAAATGTGAAGTAAAGGCTAGCTCGCGACCAGGCCCTCTTTTTCTGCTGAACGCGCGTTTCTCTGCCCGCGGGGTGATCGAAGACGAGTCGGGGAGAAGTTTGCATGGGGTCTGGCACTAATTATTATTGCTTGTCTCTTTGCAGACTTCTCACCGGCTCGCGTTTCTTGAGCTCTCATACTTTCCCGCGGGCAAGTGAATACTTATGCCGAATAATTCGGGCCTACTCGCAAGCTAAGTGAAGGCATTTTCGAGTCGCAATTTCAACTGTCCCAAACTAAAGTCGAACTTAAAAAGAACCCCATTTAAGATGTTAAGTTTTTCGAATGCTCAAGTTGCTCCCGAACCGGGACCTTTGAATTCCTTTTTAGTTCTCTATGTCGAGATCCTTTTCCTGTTCTTTCATTGTAAATTCTTCTTTAGCTTTCCTTAACTGCGTTTACATTATCCGCCCCGACTTACAGAGAGGTGATCAGAAACTCTCTCAAGATCTCACAAGCGTTGACTAGTGATTTTAAAAAGTGAGTATATTTGATTCGTTTTGGATTCCTTATTGAGTTTAGTACTTTTAGCCTTGGGCAGCCTTTGCTCCATTTAAGAAGGCGTAATTGATTCAGACCGGACCACGCGAGTGAAAAGTCATGTAGAGTTACTTGCGTTACTCGCTTGCAACCAAGTGTTTTATCCTGGGCGTCAAGCAAGAAAGTGAACAGATAAGGGAGGGAATACAGAAGCGACAGTCTTATACTTACGTATCATTTTCCCTCTTTTATATAAGTATAGATATGCTAGTCTCACATGCTCACCGAACTTCCTCTTTCGTTCGGTTTTAACGTTTTCTTTTTCTTTTTTTCCAATTTATCGCATTTTTTTAAAACTTCATTTCTAATATTTTGAACGAAATTAAAACCGACAGGTACAGAATATTTTATTGAATATCCTGCGTGTAAATATGATTTCAAAGTTATTGAATTACTGATGTTTGACAGACCCCTTTTCCAAACTTTACTGTTAAGTACATAACCAGCCTTTTTTTTTAATTTCTCTCTCCTTCTTCGTTTTAGACTGGACGAAGAGAACTCTCACCAACGAACTTTATTTGCCCGCAAACAGAAAGAAGCCAATAAAGACTTCACCAGGTATCAATTCAAATTATTTTCGTGGTGCATTCGTCATGTATGATGACTCGAGAGAAAGAGGACAGAGCACTTACCAATTGAGTGTCGAAGTAATCACAAATTGCATTGGCTTTCCTTTACTTGACTCTCTCATTGGTCTAGAAAACTCTCGTCACTCAACCAATCGGATGCAAAACCAAAAGTAATCACCACTTTGTCCCCGCGTTTTCCCGTATTTTAGGCAGTTTGCTTGCTTTTATATTGAGTTCTGATTGGCTCTTGAGAGTATTTCATTTGTCCTGCAGGGTCGTTGCGATTGCTTCGGTTTTGGTTTCGCGACGTCCAATCAAAACGCGCACTATAGACTTTTCTTTGTATATTAGAGGGTATCCACCATGAAACTTATAAATACTGGGCTCCTTACATGGGTGTGCAGGCGTGTCCTTTCCTCGTCCTATATTTTCAGTTCAGCACCTTTGTGCCATTAAAGTTCTTGCTTCAACCCTCCAATGGCCACCAAAATGTTAGAGGGAAAACACAAGTCCTGTCTCCCTTTGACGTGTTGGTAGCTGCTACTGATTCGCTTGAAATCTCTTGTGCATTTTTCTCCATTAGTTTATTTTACGTTTATCATTTAATCACCTTATCAGGCGCGAAGGAGAGTTATTGGCACGTCAGAAAGATGTGAAGAAGATAAGCGAGCTGATATATTTAGAACTCACGGTGAGTCACCTCGAGATAGAGGTAGTAAAACAAACTGGCGGAAAGCAGATGCCTCTTTTTACTATTCAGTAGTATCAAATTTTTCATCCAGAAGTGGATGAAAACAATTTCTTAACGTCAAAACAAATGCGTAAGCACTGGTGAAGCAAAAACGCTTTCCAAAAGTAATTGTATTTCAGGGGTGGATCCAGGGAATTTGGAAAGAGAGGGCCGAAATATGGTGGTAAGAGTGAATCATTACTTCATGCCAACGGCACGAGAACATTCCTTATAAGTAAAATCCCAGACATGAGCGCCCTTTGCTGTTCCCCTCGAGAATTCGCTCACCGGTTACTATCCTTAGCTGAGACCGTCTATCTGAAACTCTCTGGAGCTACACAGCACAGCACTGTTAGCATTTTTCTCTAAATACCAGAAACGGCCGCGGCATATGACAACGCCGCGTTATAATACTGTTGTTGTTTCGCTACATTTTAGCAAGTGATGCATCATGAAAGGTGCCGCAAAGAAAGATATTTGATTTTTTTTTTTTTTTTTTTTTTTTTTACAATTTAGAAAGACGGAGATGAACAAAGCAGTGGAAAGGTCGCCGCAGCCGTTGCTTCAGCCATGGGGTATGGGATGGAGAGCGAAACCAGTTAAACGGGTTTTAGTGTGGCTGGCAAGTCAAGTTTGTTTTACCGTTACTCATGAGGAGTGTAATGCGTAATTTGGAAAGTGCTGGGAAACTGGCAGAAACGTGGCTTTCTAGTTGTAATTTTATCTCGTACAATTCCAACACAACTCTATTTATTTTGATAATACTTGTACATATGGCTGATTCAAATTCTTATTTTTGTATTTGTATGACCTTGTAATTTATCAACTTGTGGATCTATCCTTTGAGTAAATTTCTATTATGAAAATGTCCAACAATCACCAGGTCTGCTTCTCTTCTTTAGTAAATTTAATTAATAAAACTGCATCATGCCCTGTGAATCATTTTATAGCATGAAAGTGATGCTACTAATACTGAACAAACAAAACATCGGTTTTGCCACTTATATCATGTATAATTCTTAATATTATTTCACATTGGATTGGTACTAGAGTACCAACAATCTCCGGTTAGGAGCGACGGGCAAAGATGGCTTGAATCCAAAACACGCGTAACGTTTTTATTTAATTTTTTCCCAAAGGAGAGGAGATGGGGAGGGGGGGTTGTTAGGGGGACTGTTAGAGTCGTCCATCAGTTTAGATCTCCGATTCTGTGGCAAATTTTTGTCCAGATTGCGAAAGAAGCCTTTACAACTGCTTACTACTTTCTATTTCGACACATATATTACTCAAGGAAGTTGACTTACTCATAGTAACTTGGGTTGTATTGTCAGTATCAAAAGAACTTCTAAAACAAGTTCCATGTTCGTCACTGCTAGACAAAGAGCCATAAGTGTGGTTGGCCTCGATGGGTTCGTTCTCTTCGGCAATCGAATCAAGAGATCGTAACTTGTTTGGCACTCCCACATCAGCTTGGCTAGGTTCTTCATAACTTTTCCAGCTTCCTAAGACATGTTCGTCAAAGCCATCTATATCTTCATACTGTCCTTCGAAAGAGCTGTCATCCAGAGAAGACGCACAACTTAGGCGGAATTTTGATAACACGACTCGTTCACGGTACTTCTGGTAGATGTCCTGTAGCTGATCCAGGCTGTACTTTGACAAAAATCTGGCCATAGTTGGGATTGCATCAGCAATGTCGTCTTCATCAAAGTCTTCGTCCTGGTGAAGCAAGAAGTGGAACAGCGTTTTCTTCTTATCACTTATTTTGTCGACCTCGAGCCAATTGGCCTGACGCTGTTCCTCGACGCTAATATTGTCCAAGGTATACATGATATTCTCTGCGAAGTCTTCGATATCTACTACTGCCTTTTCGAAGTTTGTCAAAGCGGGTTTATACAGCGGCTTGAATGGTGGACTCACCAGCCGTCCAATCTGCTCTTTTAGGCAGTACATGATGTAGTCAAGTACCTCGTAATCGTTCGTTTGGTTTCCAACATTACTACTCACTTCAGCAAAGGCTTCGTTTACAATGGACAAGAAAACATTGACAAGGATCAGAAACATGAACAGCATATACGAGATGAAAAACATGGGTCCGATGAGTCGGTTTGAGTTTTGTATCCCCAGGAAATCGAATCCTCCCAAGGTCATGGACAGCATGGTCTCTGATGCCACAACGAAAGTGGCGTAATCTTCGTTTGTCGGACCAAACACAAGAAACGCCATCTGGGCGTAAGCTAAAAAGAAAAGAAGAAAAATAACAAAGAAGGATAACAATGGTTTGCTGCTGACTTTGATCGTCTGAGCCAGTGTGGACAGTCGTCGATTAAAGCGCAGAAGTTTGAGAAACTTGAGAAAGAAACAGAAGACTGCAAAGCCTAATGTTGCTAGGTAAGCTTCGTCTAGGAATATGATGTAGTCAAAGCTGATAAAGGTATCAGTGTTTGCTCGCATTCGTTTCATGGCCAGTTTAGCAAACCCCAACTCTGCAAGGTACAGAAATATAGCGGAGAATGAAGAGCCAATGACTATTATCTCGACGTAGTTCCAAGGGTCTTTAAAGTAGCTCTTTCCTAACACAAACAGCTGCTTGGCTTCGCTGTAAGAGTAAATGCATAAGGATATGAAGAAGATAAACTCGAACACCATAATCACTATTTGTTCCGGACCAGTATAGCGGTAAAGCCGGATGCTTCGGACCTTCGGGTAGTGGTAGTATCCCCCTGTGGGGAGAATTTCTGTTAGCATGGTTACTACACCAAAGAAGTTAGTGTGCGCGTTGTAAACTGTGAATTCTGCGAAGACGGCGCGCGTGTAGCGATCGATCCACTCATCAATGTGCAAATCTTGTATCTTCTTCAGCGTGGTTAAGCGCGTGGGAGCGAGATTGTACACAAACCCTGCAAAAAATTAACGGCGTTGGACTCGACACGGATACAATCAAGCTTTCAAATTTATACTAAGAGTTTCTAATTCTTCTTCCCGTCCGACCTCTCATTCTGCGTCCTTGAAATGTTTCTTGTCGTGTGTCGATGGACATAATTATAAATCTCTCCAAGCACCCACCTACTTACTGGATGCTTCAATTGTTACACTGTCACTGGACTTTTCTCTAACAACAGTACTTCGACTTTGCACTGAATCGAAGAAGCTGGGAAAGTACCTTTAATCACCTCAACGTTTAAAGTTATGAACCTTTTTAGATGATGTCAATTTTATAATGCAAAAACACTCTCTTTCCACCAGTCACCACCCTCTTCCCACCAATGTCCTAAAATTTTAAATATTTCAGAAAAAGATCATAGGGTAGAAATGAAAAGTTCACTGGGTTCATTTCATGTGCGAATTGCATCCGGTATTTCCGTTACTGATTCAGTCTGTAAGGTGCAGAGGGTGTAAATTTATGACAGCTGATCACGGTTCAGACACTCACCACCTCCCCAGTAAGATGCAAAAATTCCCCAGAATGGTGTTCCATTTAGGGTTAAGGCGCTCTGCCAAATCCAGGGAGACTGGTGATCATCCGGGAGATTTTCTATTTCACTTTCCTCCATCAGTTCCCAGCCAGGATGAAAAGCACCTTCTTCTTCATCTTCCCATGAATAGTAAGACGTACACGTTTTAATGGTGTCGAGCAGGTATGGAGGGATTGTACAGGCATCTGAAAAATAATTCCCAAAGGATAATGGATTTCGTCCAATCTTAACTTTAAATTAACAAATGGTACACCACAGCGTACGCTATTGAGATATCGATGCACGCGGGAGGTTGCTAAGCACGAAAGAAGCGTAAGAGTCGCTCGAGGCGATAGCCGAGAGCGACTCTAGCTTCTTGAGTGCTTAGCAAACCTACCGAGTGCATCCATAACTCAATAGTGTACGCTGTGGTGTGTACCATTTGTTTTATAACATAACATTGATACATTGTAGCTAAAGAGTTCCCTTTTATTTAACAAATCTTACGTGACCAGAAAAAACAAGCGCGCGCGGAAAAATAGTCTTTGCATTTGCTCACGTCACCAGCGTACAATCATGGGCAAATGGGGGACGCTAAATTGACCAATCAGAGCGCGCGCTTTATTTTGGTTATGTTATAATATATGTTATTTGCCACTAATCATTGCTGAATTAAAGGAGTAGCTACCGTCTATGAAAGTATTTACTCCAAATAGTTTTAAGCCAGTGATAGATAGAAACAGATGGAGTCTTTTTTGGATGTAACACCATAGCGTTTCACAAACTGAATCCCTTTGCTTAGAGTTCTTGGCGAGACATAGTGATTTAAAAAGGGGTCTCTGAATGATCCCAACACTTTGAAATCATGATTAGCTTGCAGGCCGCTATGTCTGCCTCGTCCTTAAGCTTTATCTTTATTGGATACAGCGCTCTACCCTTAGTCTTAATGGCCGCCTAACCATCAAATCCGTAATATCGCATCGAAATGACGATAACAATAGACGACCATGAACTCTACAGAAATTACCTTTTTTCACCCTCAGCTGACGTAACCGTGCCACACCCACAATATAAAACATTCCTCGGTCGGCGGTGACAGTTTTGGGGAAACTCTTTAGTGATTCAAAAGACTCGGCATAATCATGAGCGTAGGAACCACCGCCCTTTACCATGGTCGTTATTTTACGACCCGCTCCGCGTCCTCTTTTGAATGTTAACCTTTCTTGTGACCATAATTCCTCTTCCTGTTTGATAATAAACGGACCATACCAATACTGGGGATGTAGGGAAGGAACGAAGGAATTCTCGATCCAGTTCCATAATTTTGATGCTTCACTGCTCTGTTAAAGAAGACAAAAGCGTGCACAAGAAAGAAAACTTTCAGGAAAGGAATGTCCTTCCACATGAAATTACCTATTGGTGCGATGGACCTTTTTTAGCTTATAGTTATTCCTTTGGGTTCATGTTGATTATACACCTCCACGCCAAGTTAGCTTTAGCAAACTTCAGAATAATTTGAGCATCGATGGAATAGAACCCAATAGAGGGCAATTAGCTTTTAGAGAGTAATTTGCTAAAACATGAAACAAATAGTGGAAAGGGGGTAAGTTTCTTAAGAAACTGTGGTACTGCATTGGTTGGGGAGTATAACATGATAATCAACTGAGTTGAAAATGTAAATTGGCCGCCGTAAAGAGTTTCAAAGCTGAGGTTTCGAGCGTTAGCCCTTCGTTAGCCCTGATCTTGAGTAAAATGACAGAAAGGCAAGTGGAAGAGAAAAACCGGCAAAAAGTGCACAACAGACCACAAGTGAGTAACTGCTGTAATATCAAGTAATTGAATAATGGGTGCGAATAGTAAGGGCAATACTACCTGCCACCTTAATGTTATAGTTTCGTCATAGTTTGGTATGTTTACCTTATCAAACGGAAGCAAAGAGGTGTACTTGCTCTCGGGGAAGATATCAGTCAGTGCTCTGGTCACAGCATACGCTTGAGTGTCTCGACTTCCATACGCTACAACACATAGGACAAGAATGAACGCAAAGTAGAGGGAAATTTCACGAAGGATGATTTTCATCTGCTTCTGCTTTTTGCGACGCTGCCTGGCGATGTGCAGATGTTCCTCGCTAGGTGGCTTGGGAATTTCCACCGATTTCCTAAAGTCAAAGCCACTCTTCTGATTGCCATAGGGCTCATGTATCCATTCTTCGTCTCTTCCGAGCTCCCTCCTTTGGTTTCCTTCGTCTTGAATGGCCTTGTCTGGATCTTTGATGATGAGAGCGAAGAGCACTGCCACGACGATGACTTTGAGTGGCTGAGATATAATAACGTCTTGCCAGAAGGATATCATCATACTTGAAACCCATCTCTGTGACTTGGCCTCTCCAAATGTCAGAGAATAAAAGATTGTGAAGACGGCAGAGGTAATGGAAGCAACAAAAATCAAACCATAGGCGATGTAGATTGTAACATGAGGTAAAGTGAACGCTTTCTTTTCTTTTTTCCCTTTCTCTTCCTTATTTGTATCGCTGTTTCCCGCATCTTCTTTCTCCTCCTTGACCAGATCGTAACTTCCGCTGGTTTTACCATCAAAATAACTGTCGCCAGACGCATTGCTTTGGTGATCACTCGATTTTGTATCTAGAATGGGCCAGTCTTTCGGCCGAGCTTTTCTGAAAATATTAACTATAAGCAAGTTCACGGGAAGAACCACCAGGCTTGACATGACCCCAATCCCGATTTGGTTTGTGGAGAGTCGAATGGGTCCAATCTTGACTTCAACATCGGCATCTGACTCTTCCTCTGCTCCGTCCTTGTAAAACATTGCGTTTGCCAGCATGCTGCAGGTGAGGATTGACAAACAGCAGGAGAGACGCTGTACACGGGTGAAGGAGCTTTCAAAAGGACGATACAACACTGAATACCATAGATGCCCGTCACTGAGATTCTTACGAACCTCGGTGCTAAAAATAAAATTAAACTTCACCAGCTCTTCCTTTGAAGCGGGAAGAAGTGTTCGATTGATCTGGCCATCATCTTCTTCAACTGCGAGCCAACGATCACATACAAACCAAACGACTTTGTCAGTCTGAAGATCGCGCACAAGCACCCTTGAGAGAAACCACGAAGGGTCAAGGCCGGTGTTGTTATGCCATATTCGAATGCCTAGTATCTCTCCAAGCGGACGCGGGACTGTCAGTAGAAAGTTATCAATGTTTCCCCTTTGAAATTTTCTACGAACTGGCTCCAGGTCGAGTAAGCGACGAGTCTGTGTCTGTTCAAAAGCGCCAGTCAGTACAATAAAAACATCTGCAGTGGTTCCTGCGCTACTGTCAAAACCAGTGAATACTATAACCTCGTAGCCAAAGAGATCCCTTGGATCATTAGATGGAAGTGGAGTAACACCAACCTGATACAATAAGGAAGCGTATTGATGAAAAATTATATGCATGCTCCCTTATACTCTCTTTTATTATCCAACTACACTTCGTAGAGTACAAATAACGCCATAGACGAGTACAAATATCACGCGGTATTTGTACTCTAGAGTACCGGTTAAACAGGTTTTTTCGCATCGCGCAAGCAAAGAATTGGATTGTAGTTACGAAAACAAAATGGCGAACAATTTGAATTATATTTCCGGCGACGAAGAGCAAGAATGGCTGGCAAATGTAAATCCAAGTTTTTTAGATGAATTCAACGAAAAAAAACAGCTAGACGACCTGGAAATTTCTTCATTTATTGAAGAAAATAGAAACAGCAACACGGCAACGCGCCAATTCCGTTCCGCTTTGCATACTTCTGTCACGCACTCCCCGTAAATAAATATCCGCGAAATTCGCCCGCACTGAAATAACAGTTTGGCGTGTTGGATAATAAATAACTTATTAGACGTTTTGTTGTGTAGTATCGCTGAGTATTTTTACTCGTTATTTGTATTTTGACTCGCCCTACGGGCTCGTCAAAATACGGCACAACTCGTAAAAATACTCAGCGATACTACACAACAAAACGTCTAATAAGATATATGTATTAATGAAAAATTATATGCATGCTCCCTTATACTCTCTTACATTTGTTGGTTGTCCTAATTTATACACTGGTGGCACAGTAATTTAAATTTTATTTCTCCTTCTCCTTCTTCCATAACCCAACATCATCAGCTAATGTTTTTAAGTACTAATTTTTTTCCGATTCACTTGTCAACACCAGCATACTTGATCAACTACTTGAATTTCGCGTGCCGAGAGCCAGTTATTACAAGTCTAGGTTTAAAAGATGGTCTAAGGATTATTTAAATGTGGTTATCTGGTTGAAGAGAACTTTAAATAATCTGCTAAAACCCAATGAGCTGAATATACCGATAATAATGTTTTTTTTTTTTTTTTAAGGGTGAAAAGTACTTTTGGATTTTATCGATTTTAGTTTAGGAAAACTCGCCTTGTCCTTTCAACCAATCCGGATCAAAACCTAAGCCCATTCGTTACCTTGTCGCCCACGCTTTCCTGCACTTCAGACATTTTCGGTGTTTTCTTCATGGGCATCCCATCATAATTCCTTTCTTCTCATCGGTTGTTGTGATACCTCTATGTTTTATTATACAACGCTTAGTGAATATTAGTAAATCCTTACCAGCAACAGGTCTGCCTTGTCTTTACGTCGGGCCCAGACCACCAGCAGAGAATACAGTAGAAAGATGCAGCAAACGATGATAGCGACGATAGGATTTTTGAGAAGCTCTTCCATGTTCACCTTACCCCAGTCAATTTTGTTCGGAGGAACAAAGAAACTGCTCGCAAATGACGACATATGAGTGCACAGACATTGCGTGTGTGTTGAATTGGACAGCGGTCCAACCTGATAGGAAAAAACAAAAAAACAAACTAACTAACTACAACAACTACAATTGCAATTGCAATTAAATATCTTTAACGTAAAAGCTGACATTTTCAACGTAGACACACGTTATGCTCAGTGTAGTTGCAGGTGAATTCAATTGACTGAAATGTCAGGGCATTCCACATACGATATTTCACAATTTTGAATATCTTAATGAAAGAATATCTTTCTCAATTTAATGAATATTTATAATTTGAGCAAATTGAAAGAAATAGAAGTCAAACTGGTAGTAAACTGATTTCTGTTTCCGTCCACTCCTTACATACTTATGAATGCAGAAGTATCTTACCACACAACCGTCTCCAATCCAAATATGATTCAGTTCGTCCCAGTACAAGCACTCGGATGCGTATGAAGAAAACAAGTATTCCACAGTCCTATCTTCCTCAGCAACTTTAGCACCGCTGACAGTTCCGTTGTACTCGATAATCACAAAATATTCCCCTGCTGCTGTTCCGTTTAATTCCGCATTGTTAAAGAACATTAGCTTTGAATCCCTAGGTCCATCATAACTAGTGTTACCGGAGCTGAGCTGGGGAACAACCCTAATCTTATCCCCCTCAAGGCCCTTCATCGTTGGTTCTTCCCCTTTTCGTAGATAAACGACTAAAGAAGGTTGCTCCATAAACTCCCCGAGTAGGTCAACTTCAATAGTGATAGAGCTTCGGTTGTCCCTTACTTCAAAGCTATGCTTGAGGATTTTGGTGTATTCTACTTTCCCTTGAGAGATTTCAAGGGAGTCGTTCCCTTTCCTTATCCACAAGTCTACTGGTTTCGTAAGGTTTTCGATATTCAGTTCCTTTTGAGTGCTGTAGTTGCGTATTTCTATTGAAAGCACGTGACTGTTGATAAGACTAGCACTTGGGGACCAAACAAAAGATACGAAAGGTGTCGAGGTGACCTGTTAGGAAACATAAGAAACAAAAAAATGGATTTGTTAGAACCACATAAAGCATTAGCACAGGGAAGCTTAAAATAATCACATAAGTAAACATTCTTAATTAAAATAAACTATAGAAAAAATCTTGAAGGTACTATACCACAAAGAAACAAAATGTGGCTTTCGTAATAACATAGAGTTTACAATTTTCTTTTACAAATTGTCCGTAGGGTCTTCTGAATCAGTAAAACGTAATTTTCAGTTTCGATTGTGAAGATAAATCTTGCACCAAAGGGAGTGTTGAATCGCGCTTTCAAAGAACTTGATGCTTGTGAAAAATGCTCCGCTCTGTTGCATTTTTAAGCTCGGTAAGGAAAAAAAAATTAATTTTCTCGATTATGAAATAAAGAAAGATCTTTTTCGTATTGTTAAATCGAAAAACCTCTTTCTTCAATTTAGTGGATTTTCTGTGAAAAGATGAACCAGAAAGTAAAACACAAAGTTAAAATGATTTGAGTAAGAGTTAGACTTACCAATGCGTCGAGAATGATAAGAGCGGTCATGTTTCCGTCCTTCAGTATGCCTAGCTCCCCAAAGTTGTCAGGCAAATCAACGCCTCCTACGCCACAGTGAAGTCTACGTCCCGAGAATCCCGCGGGAAAGTCACGGTTAAGCGTGAAATAAAGCGAAGAAGAGCGGACTTGTATGGGTTCTTCTTTTGGTAGTACGTGACCAAGATACGAGTCAGATAGCAGTCTGACGTAATCAATGACGTTTTCAATCAAAATTTTACCCTTTAAAGTTGAAATAGATATTAAAAGAAATAACCAGTGAGTTCCAGAATGGTCTAATCAACGAGTTGCATGAGGTTTGAAAGAGGAGAAGTGTAACTATTCTCTTAGTCAACGTAAAGCGAAGAAAGCTGTATCTTACTCATGGAAACTTGAATTTTCTTAATTCAAAATTTGTAATGGACTGAAAAGGAGCTTAACTGGGGCCTCGGTTTCCTTCATTTAATATCAGAATGGAACATTATGCGATTAGGACCACGAATTGCTATGCGTACCCAGCTGTAGGGGTAAACATCTGAAAAAATTGTTACGCGCGTTCTGCATATATTTACGCTTTGTGTTGTTCAGTTTTGTTCTCTTTATTTAGTTTTGTTCTGATCATCATTCCCACAGTTTTATAGCAGTCTATGTGAGGAGCGATCTCTCTTTGGGTTGTCATCGGGCTACAGTATACATCAGGTGATTTTTTGTGCAAAGAATGGCAGGACATCAAACTGTTTTGAATATATCAAACATTTTTACTTTCTTACTTCGTTTTCAAAACATTTCTCCATTTTGAGGTAAGCAGAAGAAACGAAAATTTTCCCTTTCAAAACTATGATAAACGGATTGTTCAGTAGAATGGATTTCAGTTCTGAACATTTTTTTATCGATAACTCTCATTCCTGTATGTCCAGGCCAGCTACCTACCATGACAGTGAAATTTCCCTGGGTCACTGAAGCTTTTGTGTTATTTCCATCAAAGTATTGTCCATCCATTAAATGAGATACGACCCACACCACATTTCCTAATGCCTCAGACACAGTGTTTAACGTTCCCCAGAGGTCAATAGAGTCTGTTATTGCGGACTGTTGTATGATTAAGCGCACCATATTACTGAGCGTCTTGTTCAGGTTCAACTGTTTGAAAACAAACAAAATACCAAATAAAAGGCGACACATAAAAATGTGCAACTTGACTACACAGACAGAGCGAATTTCGATTGGGTGTGGCAAACCAAAAACAGTATTCATAACATCTGATCAGAAAAAGGGACAATTCACAATGAGAACACTAAGTAAAGACAAGCAAACCGCTTGAAGCACGGTAAAATGTGTTCGACCAGGTTGGGATAATTTTCAGTCTTAATCTGATTGGTTGGGAAAGTGGTGGGAGTTTTCTGGACCAATCACATAGCAAAATGAAGCAAAATTAAAGAAATCTTGGATTTCTTTCGCCATTCAATAGGAAATTACTCGGGTAGTTTAATTATGATACGACTGTGGAACGAGGAAAGAATTTCGAGCTTCCAGTAAGGATTATGGCGAACCTTTGGTGCGGTATTTTAGGAAAAAAATTTGAGTCGTGAAGCCATCATTTGCTTTAGAAAAAAATTGCCTTGGCATATGTGACATGCGTCCTGCAAACCGCTACCATCAGTTATGTCGAAAGAGTCCTGAACAAAGATACAGTAACAAAGATGGTATATTTTGAGCTCATTTGTTATAAAAATACCTGAGTCTCAACTTCGCACTCATCAGGTACGGTGGCAAGCTTAGAGACGGCGTTAGCAGTCTCTCTGACTGTCTTTATGTCATCCATAGTAATTTCTGACACAACTCGACTCATTCGTGTGCGGATCTGGAGAAGTGGTTCAAAAATGATTAGAAAGCACAAATAATCGCCCGCGCAACGTTAAGCCTGTAGTTCTGTTTTCTCAAGGTAATATCAAAAAGTAAGATTTGTTTTTAACTGGATAACAAAACAATTAATGTGTCACCAAAGCTCATACTTTTAAATTTTCGAATCAGAGCACTTTGATCCAGCTACTACTAAGCTTCCTGATGAAAACAAACAATACTTTATTCCAAAGACTGTCATAAGTAACACAGCGGTCAAATGTCGGGCATACGTAAAGAGATTAATTCTGGTCGGCCGTGCGTCAATTTCCTACGCATGGTGTCAAAGGTAAAGCACGTGTGTCCTGTTGATTTACCATTTTGTTTTGGGCTTCATCAAAAAATTTATACGCTTTTGAAACACCGTAACTTGCTGGCTTGTGTGATTATTTTATAACTCAGTCGTGTGACACAACTTGGTTCTGACAGCGTCAAAGTATACCACCTAATCATTACCGCCTTTACACACGCGCAGGCGTTTGATCACTGTGTTACTAGTGAAGAGAAGGATATAGGGTCCAGTGAAAAAAAAAAACATAATTAAAACTGTAATGAAGAGTTTGCCATCATCAAAGTGGCTTGAGACAAATTAACACCCTCTGAGCAGAAATGTGAAACGAAACACAAACAAACTGGAAGGGAATCCTCGTCACACTTTAGTTCCGTCAGTTTAACTAGCAATCATTTAAGGTTACTTAATATACTAACGTTTCGTGAGGCTTCTTTAAATACTTTGAGGTTGGCTGCTCGTTCTGATATGGCATTTAACTGCGATGACACCTCTACGATATATTGATTGGTAAATTGTGAATAACTTTCCATCTCGAGAGTTCGCAGTGTACTGTTAATGGTCATCTCTTCCAACAGTTTTTCGATAAGAACAGCGTCGTCTTCTTCACTTGGAAAACTCTAGGTAAAAAAAAAAAAGTTAACTTGCAGGATCAGATAAGTAAACATTAGTGGCTTCTTTAATATAAATGTATATAAAACCGATACGCTACCTTACGATCCACAGAGTATCTTTAGGCAAACCAAACTTGCTGCATCTATAATTTGCTATCGACTTAAGAAATTTCGACAAAAACGAGCAACAGTGTCCACACATCCGCAATTCTCCTCGACCAGTAATCTAAGCGGTAGCCACGGAGAACCCGTTTAAGTTACGCTGGCAAGATCCGAATTTCGCATTTAGGAGCTGATCTCACTACAATACAAAATAAGTTGATCATAAGGGAAGATGGGAGACGCTTATTCTATTTCTTATTGTCACAAATAAAATTCCCCTCAAATCCATTAGATAGAGGTAACTGTGCTCAAGAAACGGGGAACTCTGGAAAGGCGTAGTAGAGATCGACTGCCTCCTACGTACAAAATCATCACGATGACCAGAACTTTTGTGGGCGCATGAACAATAATTTCCCTTAATTGCAACTTCAAGAAACCACCAATAACAAGTTACTATCAGACCACAGTGAGTTTTACCTGATACTCAAACTTGGCCTCTGATTTAGTCCCAAGCTCGTCTGAGATGACGGCCTTCATGTACAGCGTGTAGTTATATTCCTTTAACCCGAGTGGTAACCGAATATTCCCGATAGTTCCGTCCCTTGTGTACTGAAACAAATATTCTGTACCATTGGGCGACGTTTTGTAGAAGTAGTCGTATATTAACTCAGTCGAGCCCGTGGAGCTGGTCCAGCCGGTACAACTCAGAGTGATAAGTTCTTCATGACCACTGCCATCTCCTTTGATCGCGCGACACTCCCCACCGGTGGGAGAAGAGGCAGTAACGAAGACATACTCAGCAAAACCAGTGGCACCTTCACCAAATCGACCTGGGACAAAAATTAAAAAGAGCATGAAAAACCGTAAGGCGAAATGCATCTTTGAGTGAAATGTTTTCGTACTTTTCTAAGATAAAGACTATTTTCAGAGGATCTTCTAGCAAGTCACGTTTACAGAAGTCGTTATTCACAATTTCTGTTTGTTCCACCACAACCATAATTCTATTGGATCAACCTCCTTATCTGAGCAACTGCACACCCACCCCTCTGCTAAAACAAGAACAGTCGGTTAGGAGAGGGGTAGGTGCGCAGTTGCTGATGTTGATCCATTCTACCATTTTATTATCCAACTACACTTCGTAGAGTACAAATAACGCCATGGACGAGCAAAAAATACCACGCAGCATTTGTACTCTAGAGTACCGGTTAAACAGGTTTTCTCGCATCGCGCAAGCGAAGAGTTGAATTGTAGTTACCAAAAAAAAAAATGGCGGACAATTTGAATCATATTTCCGACGACGAAGAGTCAGAATGGCTGGCAAATATACATCCAAGTTTATTAGATAAATCGAACGAAGAAAAACAGCTAGACGACCCGGAAATTTCTTCATTTATTGAAGAAAATAGAAACAGCAACACGACAACGCGCCTAATTCCGTTCCGCTTCGCATACTTCTGTCACGCACTCCCCGTAAATAAACATCCGCGAAATTCGCCCGCACTGAAATAACAGTTTGGCGTGTTGGATAGTAAATAACTAATTAGACGTTTTGTTGTGTAGTATCGGTGAGTATTTTTACTCGTTATTTGTATTTTGACTCGCCCTACGGGCTCGTCAAAATACGGCACAACTCGTAAAAATACTCAGCGATACTACACAACAAAACGTCTAATAAGATATATGTACTTCTCTCCTTGATTTTAGATTGCACTCCGGAAATGTGGCTGGAAATGAGGTTTTCACGCTAGGAACATCTTTCAAACGAATACGTTTCTTCTCTGGAGGCCTTAGATTATGCAGAAAGCAGGTTTGATAAAAAAGCAACTTTATCAAACTTACCTTCGACTCTTACAACGTACGTGGCTCCACTTTCCAGACTGTTTGCCCTTAAGACAAGAAACTCGGAATCAATGCCTACTCTTGTCATAGCCAGAAGATTTGACACTCTAGTCAAGTCCGTTATTGTATAGGTTGCCATTTCTACCCTACTCTGTGCATTTCCATCTTTGAATCCTTCACCAATGACCCACAAACTCCAAGAAATCGTTAAGCTGTTAATATCCTGTTGGTTGCAGCCTCTGCATGCTCCCTCCAAAGATAACTTGGCAGACGGATTCTTTTTGCCTGGAAATTCATCGTAAGGTGTCCTTTTGAAAAATCATAATGACGGTATTGTTATCGTATTGTAGCACAGGGTGAAAAACTATCTGATTTATTTTACATTCGTGTCTACGCGGCAAAACTATCGATGGTGAGAATTATGCTGGTGTAAAGTCAAAGATAAAACCACCTGCTTTCATCACTTGCACAACGAGCAATTCGAACTACATACCTTATACTCATCGTGGGCGGATCTCCATAAGTCAGTGAGACCTGAACATAGAACACAGCCATTCGGGAGTCTTTTGTGACGAATAATTTAAATATATAAGTCGTGTTTACCCACAGTACATTTGGTTGGATCTCAAGAATGTCTGCTCTTACTGGCAAACGTCTGGTTCCATTTCTAAAGCACCCATTCGCACCAGTGCCATTAGCACTTGTGAAATTTTTTTCCGGAACAGAGGGAAATTCGTAGTCTTCAGTTGCTGTCTTGCAGTACCAAAAGTAGTCGAGACCATGTTTGTCTTCTGATCCGTAATCAGGATCATGCGAAGATGAGGCATCAAGGACCACCTTCTTGTAAACTGACTGAATCCAGGCATTTCCTCCTATGATCTTAGCCAATAAAGGCGACGGCAAAATTTCGATGTACGCGTTCATGTGTCTGTGAACAAGGGGCAGTCCAACCATACTTACATTTAGGCGGACCACGAACGTCCCGTACGGCAATGATCTCTGTGGTACAATTAACACGGACTGATTTTTGTCAAAACTATCTGTCTGAAGGGTAGTGCCGTTATCAACTTCAGACGAAATCCATGTGAGTTCCCAATGGAATGATGTCTTTCTTGATGCCAAACAGTTAATAGTGCAGCGGGATTTGATTGTTACGTAATCTGCTCTGAAATACTTTCGGCGAATGCCAAATGATCGTCCAGCATCGGGTATTCGTATAACGGGGAAGTCGCAAGGAAGGTGCAGGATAATCACCCAGCCGTGAATAGTGATTCTAGACACGGAATTAAGAGCTGTCAGTTTCACAGCGTAATTAACTTCCTGCCAGTACTCAAAAATGACATTAAATTTGAGGGATGGTAGAACCCTTATATCGTTTGTTGTCTTCAGCTCTTCATCACAACTCACATCACTAAATCCTTTGTAAAGAATTCTCGTGTTATTACCCAAGTCTACCAAGAAACAGGAATCAGTACCTTGCTGTCCGATCGTAATAAGCAACGTTGTGTTGAACTCATGTACTGTTGGGCTGTCGTTTTCAAAGGTGACATTTGATATACTCCTCATTATTCTTATGGTAAGACCGACACTTGCATTGCTGATAGAGTTCTTTGCCTTCACAGTAACCAAAAAATGTTCTGGGTGGGCGAAACGATGTGATACATTTGTTTCTTTCGTTTCAACCGTCGGAGTTCCATCCCCAAAATCCCATCGGTAAGTCACTTCTGTTCCGTCTGAAATGTTTGCAACAAGCAGAACGTCATATTCCAGTGGAAAAGCCGCGTTGTTTGGTCCTCTTCCCGGTGCACCATACCCGGCGTCTCCACCAGTGTGGTAACCCAAAATGCGCAGGTCTTTAATTCTTCTCTGAACATCCACCACATGCGTTAAATTGACGGAACTAACGTCATTTCTCATTGTCATATTAACTCTTAATATCCCTGGGATTGCGTAATCGTTGTGAATATTAATGCTTCGAGTCCCCCCAAGAGGTATGGTCATCCTGTTCGTGCCGTCGCCAAAGTTCATGTCGATCGTAGCATTCGTAGGTGGGTGAGTGTCCGGTTTTACGGACACTGTGAACGTTACAGTGCCCGGCGGAATTTCCTGAGGACTGTCAGATGCGATTTTAATATCTTTTACTATATACTGCACGTAAATATATTTGGTAACTGTCACTGTACCGACAGGGTTTGAAGCTGTAACGTTTAGTAGGTAAGCTCCATGGTTTGTATAGGTGTGTTCCAAATAAGCACCATTTAACCTTAAGAAGTCTCCGAAAAATAGTGATACAAATCTTTGTCCATCCGCAAAGTCCCACTCCAAAGTTACGTTAGTCCCAGCATTGATCGATATCCAGCATTTAATGATTTTGTTTACAGGAATGAAAGTATCATTGTTGAGCAGACGAAGGTTGGTGATGACTTTATCGACCTTGATCTTACGGCTAAAAATCTGCTGTTGTGTTACCAGATTGACGACCTTCACCGTCAAGAGGTAAATTCCAACTGCTGGAAATTTCTGTGGACTTATTGAAAACTTTGGAGATTTATGATCTGTAAAGTTGGTCAATTGTAACGTGAAGTTATTAGCATACGCATTTTTTAAACTGATCTCAATTTTCATGCCTGATCCAGTTGCGACTTGAATGGCCAAGTCTAAGGCTTCATCAACGGATTGTGCCTTTGGGCACGTTACAACAAAGCCTGTAATTGGTTCTTGTACGATAGCATTCCCTATCACAGTTGTGTTATACAAACGGTTGCTGCAATTGGTCCTGACGGTAAAATTTCCAAAAGTCCTATAGGTGTTTGTAACTGGTAGTGTCAAATTCCAGTAATGGCTTTTGTTTCTCTGGCCAATAGCGCCAAAATCCCAGTCGCACCAAAAATCATTTCCGCCCGTTATGTTCAACATGCAGGAAGTTGGCGTAGACAGGTTGGTGGGAGGACATGTTATGTTGAAACCCGTCAAAGGATATACAGGCTTGTGGACAAAGATATTTGATAAGCAGCTCTTCTTACTGACAACGTTGATGAATGTCAGGTTTGCTGTGTAAGAGCCATGCGTGGAGTAATTGTGTGACACCACCAAGGAGAACATTGGTCGACAACCGTCACGGCAAATGAGTGTCTGGGTTGGTACACCAGTGGTTGTTGAATTGTCCGCGAAATCCACCAGCGACTTAGATCTACTTCCTTGGGGAAAAGTTGCGTTAATTTGGATAGTTTCATTTACTTCGATATCACGAGCAGCATGGATGACTCTGCAAGTAATATTTACTATGGGAGCGATAACTACTGCTACACCAGTAACAGTTTCATTCGACACCAGATTGTAAGCTGTCACATTTACAGTAAAGTTTCCCTCTCTTGAGTATTTGTGTAGGTACGTGCCGACTAAAGTCCCTAGCTCTCTAAACGAACGTATGATGTGATTGCCATCACCAAAAGAAACGAGGTAACTAACATTCGTTCCTCTCTCAACGACCCAACTGATTTCCGTGTCATTGCCAAGGGTAGTTAAAGTGATGTTAAAGAGGTAAACTTCCTCTACGGGAATCATAATTTCTACTTGACATTTGCGCATCGCTGATGACAGAAGATTGGAAGCTGTCAAAAGTAAGGTGGTCTGACTTTGCCTGTCTATTCTTAGTGGTAGAGATTTTGAGATGTTCGTCCAAGAATAAAAGAACTCTCTCTCTTCTTTTTTATACTGGATGTTCGAGGAATGGTCTTCCATAATTTGGATACCAAACGTGACGTTGTGTCCGGGATGTGGAGGGACGACGATATTAAAGGTTTTATTCTTAGGAACAAAATAAGGTACCTCCCAGGTAACATTTTTCATGCTAACACAGGCCGTAATGTTAACTTCCATGCTCTTCCACGCAACAGATCCTGGTTGTTTCCAGTGACCAACAGGAAAGTTTCCTAAAGAAACCACCATTTCTGATGGGGGAAGATAAACGACCAAAAGATCAAACGTGTGATGTATCTCAGTGAGGGCTGGGTTGTCTCTTCCCGACACTATTTTTCCCAAATTAAAGTGGTGTGAGTTTAAAATAAAAGCATTTCCGGCTGATGCTATTGAGATTATCTCTGCAGCGAGATTTTTAACTGCGCCAATAGACACAATATCTGCTTTGCGCACCATGAAACCTGGTTGGTTGACGACCGTGATGTGAAACCCTTTAGGTAAGTAGAGTGCCGAAGAATAAACTACTTCATAATGTGTAATTAAGGTTGAATTCGAGGTTTGGTTTGCTGGACAGTTAAGCAGACCCATCTGACAGTTGATACTTTGACCACAGTGCACGTTGGAAACTGATGAACATTGGTAGCCAAGGTTATCAAGAGAGCACTCAGGAATGTTGGTTACACAGCTCCCGTTTTGGAAACAATATTTGCTCTCCGCGGGCAGAATGCAAAGAGGACGGAGTACCTGCCAGTACAAAATGGAGAATAATTCTCACTGAACGGTGCAACAAAGCATAATATGGTTTACGGCTCTTAGAAACTGACAACAGAAAGCGTTTCTGGAGTACAAATTAAATTCCTTGCCCGAGCAAACCAGGACGTTCGTAACAGTGAAAGACATCTTACCATTTGAAAGCTTTGTAGGTAGTGAATATGATAAACCAATAACATCTACGCAAAGCAAACAAATCTCGTTTTTCTGGTGGATACAAACCTCCTGCATTGTCAAAATTGTACCAGCCGTAGACCAATAAGCACATATTGACATGAAAACATAATTTGGTAAAAGGGAGAAATGAGGACAGAAATATATTTGTATTAAATGTTATTGTGTTGTTTTGTTTGATAATACCGGACTCCTGAGGGGACCCCCTGAAAGGAACTTATTAAACATATCAAGCTCGCAAAATTATCAATTTGAAATATTGCTGGTAGTCAGCTTGTTGAGGTTTCCCTTGTAATCATCAATAAAAACATTTCTTATTGAGCATACCTGCAATTCAATGTATCCAGAACGAGTGGTATTGGATTTCACTGCTACCAGTCTTCCAGTTTTACCAAAGTAATAATTTGGTAATATAATGGTTTTGTTAGCATCTGATAAATTAAATTTGGGTTCAATTGATGAAAGTGGTGTTTTAGATCCGACCATTTGCGGAGTTGAGTCTGAAGAAAGAAAAACAAAGTTCTGTAAGTTCCCATGAAGGGAAATTTGAGATAAGAGGATAAAAATAAGAAAAAACTCTAGTTTTTCATTTATAAGTTATTATAGCCTCATTTATGCTAATATTCAGTTGTATCATACTAAAGAAAGCTTGTGTATCGAGCGTTGTGACGCAAAACCGAAACAATCAAGACAACCAATTAGAGTATAAAGCTAAATAACAAAAGGATCCAATACGAACTCCAACTGAAAACATGCAACCGTTTTGAAACCCGTTAAAAATTAGCAAGAAAGACGCAGTTGATGTTAATATCGCGTAATTTTTGTCAAAAAGAAGGTATTAGAATTGTAGATCAACCATAGATCGTAGTAAATCAAAGTCGACGCATAGATGATGTCACTATAAGTACCGTTTTGCTTTTTTTTATCTTATAATAAAAATGTTTCCGTGGGTCTGTTTCTTTCTTTATAGGTTGCAGAAGAACATAAGTGACACATTCGACTGTATGTGCCACTTTTTTGTTCCAACCACATTTTGAGGTCATTTGTGATCTATTACTAAGTAAACAGGCGTGGTTATATGAAATCCCTCTGTGTTTTATAAATTTACCTTCCATTGAACCATTGACGATCTCATCAAGAGGAGTGGTAAATTGCACGTCCATGTTTGATCCAGTTCCAACTTTCAGACTGCATTCAAAATCAGACCACGCCTCCACCACGCTTGGACACAGTACATTTACTCCAGTGACCGGAAGGGATACATTAATAATTTTCATAGCGTAGATTTTTTGACATTCACCGTAATAACCAATCGTTGTTTCTGCATAAACCTAAATTCAAAAGGGAAACTTTTTCTTAAATGTTGGCATTATTATAATCCTCGGTCGAGCGGTTCGAAAAATAATCTCAACGAGTTTAAGTCGGTTGCGTCGGTTTGGTATTTCCTTGTTTTGTTAGAATTAACCAGTTCAAGTCAGTTGCTTCGGATTGGTATTTCTTTGTTCTACTGGCGGTAAAGAAAGTTTAATGTAGATCTGGCAGATCGGCTTCCTCAACCGAAATCATATCCGGTTGAAACGGTTGAAAAAGCATGAGTGGCGACCGCTGACGTATTCGTCCGCTTACTAGGGACCTTAAGCAGTCAGGTCGGCAATGCCACGGAAGACTTCGATTAAAAAATGAATTTCAACTCTTAGTTAGAATTTCAAAAATGGCTGCATGAGCTTACTGTCTCATACGGCGCCACAGCTCAACTTCAGAATGACGTATAAAAGTAGCGTTGAGTTCCAAATGGAGATTAAAATAATTTGCCGTCGCGGTTTCGGTTCGCAGACGACGCACATTTTGGCGATTTCACGTTGTTGTTTTGCATAGGACGGCTAAGAAATGTACAAAGTTTCAAAATGCACGTGCTGAGCTATTGTTCTGCCAATTAGATCTCTTGTTTTTGCACGTCCTTGTTGCCGTCGCCATCGTGGTTGCTTAAGGTCCCTATTGAAGCAGAACGTGGGTGGCTGATACTGCCCGTAAGACGCGTTATCAACATGAGCAAAATAACTAGTTATTTGTGCTCTCTCGATAGGCTGAAAATATGAGGTGAATCAGCAAGAAAGTTTTAGGAATCGCCCTCTCGCACGGAAATTGGGTGCCATTTGCTGTCTTCCCTGACAATATGATCACGGAAAAGTCTGATGACGACCATTACCGAGAAGTTACATGTTTCAACCGGAACTGTTGGCGGAGTGTTCTTCTGGGGGACTTCGAGGTGTCTCTTCCTACATCATCCCATCATCCCACTCCCTCTGACCAAGGGCTAACACTCAAAACGTCAACTTTATAACTCTTTACCGTGGCCAATTCACATTATCAACTCGGTTGATAAAACCATAATTACATTGTTACAGTCCTCCACCAACGCAGCACCACAGTTTCTTTAAACCCCCCACCACCACCACCCTCTTATTCATCTTCCTATATTAGTTGCGGTCGAAACAGACTTTTTTAATAGAACACGGCTAACTTCTCATTTGCTATGGACCTTGCACTAATACAAAAACGAGTACCTCGTGTAATCCCAGAGTGGTGTATACATAATCAATAGTTGAAT